ATATACTATTTACATACATGTAGTATAACAATATAAAGTCTAATTAAAGTATACTCTACGACTATAAACTTTGCATAGACTATTATAAGGTCATTGCGGCGAATTTATGAAATCATTTACTATTTGTTGTTTGACATTACTTATGTAAAATCATATAGATAACGTCTAACCCATCTTCCCGTGTAATTTACACGGGAAGATGGGTTAGACGTTATCTATATGATTTTACATAAGGAATGTCAAACAACAAATAGTAAATGACGTACCTCGTAGTGAGTCAAAATGCTCTGATTTCATAAATTCGCCGCAATGCATTATTTGTCTTTATAAGCTTATAATATAATATTAAGAAGGATTGTTTAACGAACTTGAATGATAAGTTTGATGTCTAATAATATTAAAAATCTATCCGAGTTATTCTTTAATAGATTAAAGACAACACGTGTCGATTAATAATCGACAAAGCGAAAATCTGTGATTGACGCAGAACATAAATAGAAGACCACTTTTTTTTCTCTTAAAAAAAAAAAATAATACTGAAAAATAAAAGTTTCTTAGATATTCTCACTTAAAATATTAATAGGGTAAGATATTAGTAACTTTGGTCATAAAAAATTTTATTATTATTAATTAAATACCGTATTTGTGCATAATATAATACACGGGCGTTATTAAGCTTAATTTAGCCGATATTCAAAACTATGCCCCTGCGCATTATTTCGCGCAAATACGGTATATATTATTTATTGTAATTATTATTTATATATTTTTTATAAAAACAATTTCATCAAATTTTTTTTTGAAATCGTACGATTAGGGATAGATCATTGCGCAGAATTTTTAAGGCGCGTTATCGTTATATGATTTTAAAATCCAGCTACATGGTATAATTTACGTCAACTTGCATAATGCCGCAGGCTGCGCAGCCTGCGCAGTAGATTCAAAAAATGCACCCCACGTTATGATAATTGATGTCATGAATCGTATTAAATCGTATGATAATTTATGAAATCGTGTATGATGTGAAGTAAAGGCTTAGCATAACGATAAGCGCAGATCACTCTATTAGTCTATTAAAAATTATTTAAAAAAGCAACTTGGACAAGGTTGGGTACAAACTTATGTGCGAGGTAGGGGAATATAGATACTTAGAATTAGCTTTTATATATTGTATTACAATATAGATTTTAGATATCGATATTGACTAAATCATCATAGTCACGCCTCTGGCAAAAGACAAAAATAAGGTATAATTTAGTAGTTGTAAGTCACGAGCTAATGAATTGAGAGTTTCTATAAGAACTAGATACGTACAGTCTAGCCCGTGGCAACACAGAACGAACACATGAAATTAGTTTCCATAACCAAGTATATCTAATCAAATTTGCATACAAAGTCCGATGTCAATCAAGTCAAACTATTAAAAAAGGTTATATTAAACTTTCTATGGGAAATTTATTTTCGAACAAAAAAACGTAAAAACGCGTGTCGTCATTCTGTGTCATATATACGTCATAATCACAATGGAGTTCTATCTTTTATACGTCATAACCATAGTGTAGTTACAATACAGCAATATGAGGATTGGTCTATGAAAATGTCAATCTGGGAATTTGAGAATTCTCCGATTGATCATAATACCCCAATTATGAATATTATTCTTAACGTTAATTGGTGAACTCTCAAATTCCCAGACTGACATTTTCCTAGACCAGTCCTCATATTTCTGTATTTCTTAAAATATACTGTTCTGTATAATTAAATTAAATATGAGCTTAATATTTATGTATATAACTACGGAAATATTTAGTCTTTTAGAAGTAGACCGCTTGAATATTTTTTACATTTTTTACATTTTTTAAAAAAAACTCACGTTTCCTTAATAGCTAAAAAATTTTTCTAGTCCGTAAAAGTACAGTATAGAGTCAAAGAGAATTGTATGTTTTAATAATTTGGCTAAAACTCGGCAGACACAATCAATTCTATTGTAGATCCGGAGCTGCATTATCCACCTCCGATACTTCCGATCGAGCATTTGAAATTACATTGGGCGCTGACAAATCGAAAAACATAGCTGAACTTAAATCTGATATAGAATAGTTGAACGAGTCAAGTTTACAGGTTTATGTGTTCTATTCTATCATTTTAATCCTTTTAATTCTTTTAATTATCGTTTTTTTAATTGTAAAATGCAAGAATTATATGCCTAATGAAAATCCGAATACGTAATATCCTCTTAAGTTTTACGCATTAAAAAAAAAATTGAACTGATAGACCAGATCTAAAAGGATAGGTTAGAGGCAATGCATGGTATAATGTACTTCACCGTAAGTTCTGTAAGTTTTAGTTGGTTCAAAAATTTTCAGAGAATTATGCATTAAACTTTCTTTGTTTTCACTAATTACCCCATTATAAATTTGTATTATCCGGATATAAAGTTCCGCACAATAGCATGATGTGTGATTTTGGCACCTTCCTTTTTTACAGTAACCTTGTTTTTTTTGGAGGCTAGCATTTTTTTGAGAGCAACAATGCGTCTCCATTGTGTTAAGGACCATTATATTTGCACTTAATATGTTAGATGGGAATTAACTACGTAAATATATTATGCATGTCATGATTGGATAAAAAAAACTAAACCTGGAATAAAATTGGAATCAAATTGAAACCAAATTGGAACCAAATTAAGGGAATAGATAACCAAATCCAAATTCGTAAGATTATAAAAGTCATCAACTCACACTACACACAAAAGTAATAGTGGATTCATTGTTTATCATTTGTTCAATCCTGAGAATCCTGAGGTTAAGTTTAAAGGAAAAGAGAGGATGTTTGTCATTTTCGAACAAATATGGAAGCATTAAGAATTCCGCATTTATTGTTGTTTGAGAGATGCAATTATATTTCCCCGCATTTTTCTTAAATTACGTAAAAAAATTTGGATCAAGAAAACGAAGTTAATTATATTCCAAATTTGTTTTGTGAAAAAAGTACTCATCATAAAGGGATTTAACGTTAAAGCATTGTTAAACATGTGAAAATTTTACCCAAAAACGGAAAAGATGGTCTTTATTATGCTGGAACCCATTGTTAAATATGCAGTGTACAAGGTCAACTGATTAAGGAGATAAAAAGAAATGTCGCAAAATAATCCACGTTTTCAATATATATCTAGAATTCAACTTTAGAATACATTACGTTGATTATAATGACAAAAATTCACATTGTTTTCAGAAGTCTGCAAAAGTATGCAACGGTTAGCTATTATGTTTTATTTTTACAAATTGCAGATTGTCTTTGGCTACTATGTTCTACATTAAATTAAAGGATTTCTATCGTAAAATTTTTTGACTAAGGACACCCAACAATTGTACACCGGTATCCCTTGTTGTTTGTTTCCTAATTTAAACATACACTATAAAGAACAAGAACAATAGTAGTTTTTGATAATGATATTCGTACTAATGTATATTTTTTAATTGATGCAATAATATTTTTTTTAATAATTTTCATTTGTGGAGAAATGTTATCATAACTACCTAATTTATTTTTCATTAGGAATTCGGGACATTAAGTGTCTAAAATTACAGAAAGTATATCTAGATAATAGCACATAGATATGTACATTTGACATACAACTATTTGAAAAAAAAGTAAATCCGTTACCCCGGTCGATTCGTTTACGATTAATAATGAAGAACTAGTAACAATATGAAAAGGTAAAAGATATTGTTCTTTTTTTTTAATTATTTATATATTTTTAAATTTCAAGGTACTTAAATAAATTAAGGTACGTACGTAACCAATTATTGTGGATCACTAGTTAAACTTTTGTTAATCCCTAACGCTAACTGCTAAGTGAAACATAAATTAACATAATTAGCGGATTTGATAGCGATAGGTTAAATATGTAAATGTTGCTTATCCGTCAGTGAAACGTAAATATAACTGAGCATATACCTAACATGTTATTAGAGTTATTAGAGTTATTAGGTTAGTACGTATAGTTTTTTTTTTTTTTTTTTTTTTACGCGGGGTAAAAGACGGAATAATTAACCTAGGTTTAAGTTTAGATGTATATTAAATATCGATAATGTGTGTTGTGTAATAAACATTTACCCCAATATGGAGATAGCACTTCAATCTTTTATAATAATAATAATTACAGTATTATAATTATTCCATTTAACGATTAACGATTATACGGATTATACGAATTATACGTAATTTTTACGCCTTCGTTCAATTTCCCGCTATTTCATTTTGATAAACCTGAAATGGATGATTTGACAAAGACACTTACAAAGACGCTTGTGTAAATTTGTTTTGACAGAGATCATTTGGTATAGTATACTAATCTCTTCAAACAATATAAATATGAGCTATTCTCTGAGTCGAGTTTTGAACATTATCAGATGGTTCAAATTAAATAACTGACTACACATATCATTCTATTTCAAAGTCATCCGTTTACAAAAATATGACTGAACCAAACTTTATTGACTTATATGATGATTCTTTAGATCGATTTATTAATAAGCTTGATATGAATCAGCTTTTTAATTTCAACATTGATATAAATGAGCTACTTATGCCAATTCCCAAGGACATTAAAAAAATACCACGGCCAATGAATTCATTCCTTTGTTGCAGAAGAAAAATATATTTGTTAGCAATTAAAAGAGGACTTACTGATGAAATTGCAGATGGAAAATTTTTAACTCAAGTTACCACAAAAATTTGGAAGCATGCTAGTCAACTTCAGAAGAATATTTTTGTTGAAATTGCAAAGCATATTAAGTTGATTGAAAAAGAACGATATGAGAATTGTAATGTCAAGAAGGTAACAAAGGAAGTTGCAAATGTTTTTGTGAATGTGAACATGGAAAATTTCGGGCATAAAGATAGGATTCACAAGACAAACAAGAAAAGAGGAACATCACGTGTTAAGAAAACACCGAAACTTTCGAATCAAAAAAGTATTTCGCAAATTGATCAAAATCTTCAAAATCTTAGCAATTCGATTTCACATCCTTTAATCAATGCAACAAACGATTTTTCATTATACGATTCAGACCATGTCACTATGAATTTCCCTATCAATGCCGGTTTTCTTCAAAATGGTTTTGGATGTTTATACTTTCCTTTTATATTAGGAAACACTTTACTCGATCACACGGTGAGTTTTGGAGAACCACAACACTACGAAGTACCCCATGAAGTATTAGAAACAAATAGATTGCTTTATAATCTTTGATCTTTTTTTTTTTTTTTATTACCGTCACATTCAATAGAAAATTTCGTTTATTTACGCAGAGGATTTTTCACTTCGATAATTTGTCGATATATTTTGTAACGATTATTTTTCATTATTATTATTTTATTCAATATTCCCACTCTTTTTTTTTCTTTTTTTTTTTTATAAATATTCGCGAAGAAAAAGACCATTGGCGGTTTGAGTATCGTTGAAGTATGCCTTTCGAAAGAGCTAGCCTAAGATATTTTAAAAACTTTAAGCAAATTAAGATATAGAAATTCTATTTTTATACAATTTTCATCGATGAAATCTTGTATGTATTAAACGTTAAGAAAAATTTTAGTACGAAAATAAACTAACCTTTTAAGTGCACAAATCACGTGTATGTGTGTATGATGATGATGATAATGATGACGATTATGATGACGATATCGATATCGATATCGATATCGATACTATCGATATACCATTAAAGTGTCAACACAAGCCAATTTTGATTCCCATATTAGATGCCAGTTAGAATATGTATCGTCGCTCACGTAATATTGGACCGAAGTCCTCTAAAAAATGATTCTGTTTGGTCGCCAATAATTCTTTTTTTTTTTTTTTTTTTTTTTTTTTTTTTTTTTTTATGTTGGATACGTACCAAATTGTTTTCCCAATATGATATAAATTCTAAAAATGTTTATCGACTATGAGTTTGATTGCTTCTTTATGTGATGCTTTCATTTATGAAAAGTATTTGCGCCTTTGTGTTAGGCTAATTAATTCATTGTTCAATACAATAATAAGTCAATAATAAGTCAATAATAAGTCAATAATAAGTCAAATAATAAGTTTCTGTGATCAAATCAATCTAAATGCACCTACGACATGAATTAAATAAATTCAGTCTAGTCCAATGGTGATCCGAATATACACAAGATATACACAAGAATTTGTTTCATTTTAATTTTTGACCAAAAAAAAAAAAATGGCCTATGCTCAATTAGTTGTCTAATACTCTGTTAGATTAGTATTACAAATTTATGATAGCCCTCGAGAGAGATAAACCATTTTCAATCAGTTCAGAATTTAGCCATTATGCCTTCTTTACAAATTTGAAACTGTGGAGTTTCTAGAATGTGAACAAAAGAAAACAATTATTTCATTTAAAAAGATTATGTTAGGAGAGTAGCATTTATAGAAACATTCAATGAAATGGATAATTATGATTGCATATGAATAAAATTCAATAAACCCGAATATGCATTGATTATTAAAAACAATGGTGACAAACTATAATCATTTCACATCATTTTCTATTAATTCCTATTGATTGATCTAAGGTATAATTAAGAATTTTATCACATCTAATCATTTCTATTTACTCGGTAATTTAAATTCTCAAATTTTACTCGTGAATTTTATCAAACAGCATTGACCCCACTGAATCGTTGACCCCACGGAACGAAGTCGGTTTATGCAAAAGCATGTAGCCATTAAGGTTTACATTTACATGCTAAGACATGCTAAGGCATGCTAAACCATGCTAAACCATGCTAAAAACATGCTAAGACGTTAGTTTAAACAATCTTGTTTAAATATTGATATTGTAGGTCATGCAGAAATTTGGTTTGAACCTATTCTTTTAGAAATGTGGAGGCTTCGATTTAACTTTTAATAAATCATATAGTGCATCAATGGTATATTATATTTACCCTTGTCTGACGCACAGCCCATTAACAAATATGATAATTATCTCATTACCTAGTTGTTTTATGCAAATCAGAGTGACAATACCAATCTATCGGATCAGTATCAAAACTCTATCATGTGATTACAAAGAGGAAAGTCCGACTATATAAGTTTTAATGATATCACTAAATAATATAGTATATACACATTGGGAAAAAGAAAACCTGGAGAAATCCGGCCAGTGCGCTTTTGTGAATCTTTTGTGAATCTTTTATGTGAATCTTTGATTTGAACGCATATAAGCATTGAACCCCATGCATATATTAACATTTTCGTAATCAATCAGATGTATTGATAAGGTACCATTTGAAAGGGGTAAAGAATAAAAGATAAGATAAATTGATAAGATAATAATAGCATTTGTGCACGCTATATATAAACTATATGAACTTAATTTTATTTTTCACCTTACGTTTATATACATTATTGTGTTGCAGAAGCATATGACAAATTGAGCACTTGCAAAGTTATGTAATTGTAATCAAATAATAATGATTATCTACATAAGCTTACGTACATTCGTACGTAATAATAAATATCATTCGGATTCGTTGGTAATTCGTTGTGGAACGTAATACGTATCTATCACGTGATCAACACTTGTCTAAATCTATCAATTTTTGTTGTGAAAGTAGGATAAACAATTCTCGAAGACGCGAAAAATGTAATTATTTTGTATGAAATACACTGCCAAGACGTCAAACGTCATACATAACTTTCAGGAACGTAGATCAGCAAATAAAACACAATCATTAAGAAATTGTAACCATGCCTAGGCAAAAAATCATTCATGAATCCATTTTTAAAAATCTTGTTATTTTGTAATACATAGCAAGAATTAATTCGGAACTATTAAATAATTTTATCCAAGTACAATAGTAAAGTTAAAAGTTTTAATAAATGAAATCAATATTTTCAAAGATATCTAAGTTATTTCTACCCAATTTGTGTTCAAAAAAAGTACATTTATATTCGTTTTTTCATAACTTTATAGTATTATTGTTATTCAAATTCAATAAACTATTTTGTATGGTAACTCTTCAGAATCTTCTTAATTAAATACGCGAAATAATAAGAAAGTATTGACTTTAAAAGTTTTAATAAAATACTGTAAATATGTATTGTACAGTTTATAAAAAAATTCTTTAAACAAAACAAGGTTTATAGAGTTTACAGTACACTAATTAACACGAGAAAAAAAAATATCAGTAACGCTCTCCCTAATCTAATCTAACATCAAAAGGAATTCACTTTTAGAAGCCGAGTTTTATGTGCCTTGTTATTTATACTAGTAATCTAAACTATTTGTGATATCCTAAACTATGTGATAATTAGTATCATGTAGTTTCGGCTATAAGAACAAAAGCAGCCGAAACTAATACTATATTAATTATCACATTGTTTGGGACGGCACAAATAGTTTGGGTTACTTTCAAAATTATTGTAATAATGTGTATATATTTCTATTTAAATATCAAAAGTATTACATATTTCTGTTACATACAGTATCAAAAGTATTACATATTTCTGTTACAATACATATATCTACAATTTACAAATTAAAAGAACAGAGTAATTGGCGAAGCACAATGTAGAAATTTTCATTCATTACCATTCATTACGAATGTATACAAAGATATGATACGGACACTGCAGTGTATAGTATAAGGTGACATAATGTAGTAAAAATCATTTTAAAAAATTCATTTCTTAAAAAGTCATATGATTATAATGATTATACGACCAAAGGTGGATAATCACTGTGGCTGATTATTACGCCAATAGCGCCAATAACCTATGTAGCATACATTCAAGAAAGAGTGTCCTTAGCGTTGGTATAGGCCAGGGTTCGCATATTTATTGCAGATCCAATTACGTTGTCACGTGGCTCTTTAAAAAAATTATTTGCAATTTGTGCATGAAAGTCCACGCTAAATTTGTGAACTCCGAGACCTAAACTTAAAATTATCTTTGCGTTACCTGTACCACGTGATTTTACGAAATGATCAGCGCGAACAAGCAAAGAAACAAGAGAAAGTAAAAAAACATGAAGCATACAAAAAATTGTAGTCTAATCTTGTTTTTGAATATTAATAAAAAAATGTTGATAAGAATGTTTATAAAGCAATTTCACCTAAACCCTAACTCTAGACAACCTCGACTCTATTTTTAATTAAGAATACTGATCACGTGGTCCGTTGCCTTGCCATCCCCGAATTTATGATTTATGATTTGAAAATTTTAGACACACGAATAATTAAATTATTATGTTTACAAGAATGGAAGACTAATTAAACAATTACAACACAATTAAATGGTTACACGTTACAAAGTAAAGCGCAATGAATAATCGCATATATTTAGAGCATTGATAAAAGAATAAACTTTTAAGAACATTTATTTTACATTTTAAGATCACGAATGACAAAAATTATTACTTCAATAAGTTTACAAAAGAACTAAAACACTTTGTATTCATTATAAAGTTTAAAGAAACCAATCAAAACAACAAATTGTTGTTCTTATTTCGACGCGTACAAATCCGATTTTAGGTGCTTTCATTTCCGAATTTTAATGATATCAAATGTTCTAACGTCATAATCGGACTTACGGAGTGATATATTACACTATTTATTAATTGTTTTAGGCTTTTTTGGAATCTGAAGAATGATGAATAGTATGCTATAACATACGTTACAGTTATCTCGAAAAGGAAATGTATGATTGATAGTTATGCTATCGGTAAATTAGATTGGTTAGTGGGAGATTGCACAGTTATTTAAATCATAGCACGTTCTCTCATTCAAATCTCCTAAAATATTTGTTTAATGTTTTTACCAATAAAAAAGTGGGCTGTGATTTTAATATATTTTAAATACATTATTGTATTTATGGCTTTTTAAATAAAAATTTCTTATATGACACATCCTTTCGAAAAAAATATAAAGGTGCAAAAAAAAAGATTTTGGACCTTCGTGCTGTCCATATTCAATAGTCTTTTACAGTAATTATGAAGCACCGGAAAGTTAAGGAAAATGCTCTCAGTAAAAAACCAGTTAGGGAAAATGCTCACAGTAATAAGCAATTTCCAATGACTTTATTACAAATGAATATATACCTTCTAATCGATTGGCATAAATTTTGGGAACAACCCGTAGAAATTTCGTCGTATAGACGAAAGTGGAAGCAAAACAATGGACGGATTAAGAGATTTTCAAATCCGTTCATTTTAATGAAGACGGATGTATCCAACCATATTAAAAATCTCAATATGCACAACTTGAAATCGTTGTTTAAAAAAATTAACATGTGGCCTGAGATATTAATAGGAAATGATGATCTTAGGTCTATTGTTAAAAATGGTTCGTTAAACAACATTAACTTTGAGATCCTCGCAAATACACAAATGAGAATCTTTCTTCCGGACCGTTTGACTCAGGAAGAATTAACACTTACACGTGGTAATATAAATACCCTTTTAAAACTTTTAGAAGGCAAAATTGATGGTACCGATATATCGTCAATTAGTAGTCGAGCCTGGACAATTGCCAAAGGCACTCAACACGAAAAATATATCAATGTCTTTGAAAAACTCAGAGATGAGTATAAAACAGAATTCCCAGATCAAAAATATCACAATAAACGGCCTCGTTGGATTCATAAAAACGCATGTGATTATGTCAATAAAGATTCTTCTTCATTACAAAATTTTGTACCTGCACCTACACCTACCGTCCAAGATCCTATTACTATTGATGATCAATTTTCATTTTTTTCACCAACAAACGAAAACGTTTTATCGGAAGTTTTATTTCAAGGTGAAAGAACACAAGTAAATAATTTGCCAATCGAAAACATGATGAGCATTACCCATCAAGGATATGTTCCGGTCTGGCCAACCGAACAGCTTCCAACTTTCCATGAACCCATAATTGGAGAGGACCAATATTTTTAGATCTCCATACTAGAATTGAGATTTTAAATCCAGTTTTAAATATTCGGGCTTTAATCATTACCTGATTTATATCGATGAAAAAAAATGGGTTTAACCATTTTTTATTACCTTTAGATCTATATCGCATTCAAACAATGACAAATATTACATAATCACGATAATCACGATAATCACGATATTCACGCAGGTAGTGAGCGATGAAAAAGATTTTCGAATGTTATTCAACCTTATGTTAAGAACATAATATGTAATATTTGTCATTGCCTTTATAAATTAAATGCCAGAATTAGCATGAAAAGTTCATTATATGTACTCTGCATTTATTTATTTATTTTTCCTTTTTTATTAACGTTATTTCGATAGAAAAATTTTTTATTTTCGGCAAAAAATCATTTTCGGCAAATATCTTAGGATAAAATAGAAACTTAATTCGGCAAAAAATTCTTAGGATAAAAATAAAGACTTTTCGGCAAAACATCGATTAAAAATAAAATTTTCCTTTTAAAGAATGAATATATTATATGATCAATAATAACATGATTTTATTGTACTTTAAATTCTTTTTTAAAATTTCAAAGTGATACAAGTCACTCTAGTAATAATGAAGAATAATGAAGTAATCGGACTATTAGTAAGAATTCACTGTATCGAGAGTTTTATTAGTAAATTCACTATACAGCTAATTGAGAAAAGCTTATATAGACTAGTTTTAGTGTCTAACTTATATCGAGAACTCATTATAACGAGAGCGACTTGTATCATCAAGTTTATTCAGTTAATAAGTTAATAAGGATTGTATTTGGATTATACACATAAATTTCTAGAAATTAAAAAGTTAATTATTATTAGGTTATTAACATATACCATATTATTTATTGGTGCAACCAATTGCAGCGATCACACGAATGACGTAATCAGTTCACAAGTACACATAACGTACGTACGTACGTACGTACAGTTCGTATCTGGTATCTGGTATGTATCTATGTAAACGATTAACAAGAATAAATGCTACGCATATAAAGTACATGCGCATGTCATTTCATTTTCTTCCCGCGCTTGGTTTTTGAAATTGCAAATCCAATATTAACACGCGTCAAAATACGAAAATAGTTAAATCATAGACAGTATATGCGCATATATTATAGAACAAATCACATGACAGCTTGATGATTATGTAATGCATTTTTTCCGAGCAACGTAAACGAATTACACGAAACAAGAGATTCAAGAATTTATTGAATTTATTTCAAATTTTAATCAAAAAGATTTTTTTCGTTAACTTTTTACTCGTAATTCCGAATCCTAAACATAAACCTTTATAATCGGCTTAATCAAAGTATAGTTTCTTGATTTTAATTGGTTTATGGGAAAAAAACAAAAGAACGTACGCACGTACTACTTTAGGCATTAAATGATTCTAGATTGTTGCACAACTCATTATTATTGATCGAATGATTAGTTCATTTTAAGAAAACAGAACATTGGAATTCAAAAGTGGTTTAATTAAATGTCATTAAATGTTAGAACGTTCCTTTTAGAACTTTTGGAATTATCCTTAAACAAACATTGAAAAAAAATTTTGTACTCAAAAGGAAAAGTTGCAGAGCATGTGAGATCCTGAAAGAAAATTGTTTGTTTTTCATTTGTTACAAAGGACACAATTTCAGCCTCGAAAAATAGGTCTGCTGGTTTATTATCTTACGTACGTACGTAATCTTCACATGAATACATATTTAGTGCAAGTTATTTGAAAATCATAACCGAAATTATTTTTTATACACATATTTAAAGCTTTGATTTTTCAAATAGAAATCTTTTTTTTTTGACATACGTATAATTGTTGCAAAATGCGATGTGCTTAGTAATAAGACTAACCAGAGTAAAAAGAGGATCGTTTTAATTGACATGCATAATGACCATTAAAAAAAATCATTTGACACATTTTATATGCTATGAAATATGTCAAATAAGTTTCTTTGTTAGTCTCATCACTATATGTACTTATTTAATAACAACTTTACGTATGCCACGTATATAAAAAAAACGATTGGTACGCATTTATTCATAGAATTCTAATCATAATGATCATAACGTCGAAAATCCTATATTATTACGTTCATATACATTATATTACTAAATTTCTTTGTCCTAGGTTTTGAAATGTATTAACCCAATACATCATATTATTACTAAAAGAAGACCATGAAATAATATATTTTTTTATACGCATTTTAGTTATGATATTATGAGTAAAGATTATCCGAGAACGCAAAAATTTTGCACAAAGCATATAATAATTGACTTCATTAACTAAAGTAAATCAAATCCTTAAATAATATATATATATATATATATTACCTTTACTATAACGCAATAAATCAAAAGATTCTGTTTATAAAGGTATAATTAATTAATAATATGTACAATATATGGAAATAAATGTGGAAATAAATGTACGTACACACGTACACACGTAAGTTCGGCGCTATATTGTAAAAACTTCAATAAATTCTAATAAATAGCTGTCATTTATTTCCTGTCAATACCCAATTGATTGGTGACCTAAGACTT